ACAAATAAATGGTTTTCTGTTTATTTTATATATAACAACAATTGCTGAAATGTTCAAGTTATGCACCGTTCCTTCAACGTGTCTCATCACACTTTTCTTCAACACTCAAACTTCATTACCTCTGGGAATTTAAAATACATTGTAATCGTACGAGCATAATAAAACTGCATAAATTGTACATGAAAATTCTAATTGACCAAAATGGTTGAGTGGTGGGGGGCACCATGGGGGTTGACTTAAAAAAGGCCCTGTATACAGTATAGCTTCCCATATTGAATGAGGAAAGATCAATGTGAGAAAATAATTACACCCTCGTACCCAGGCTGTTTCGTCTACGCTCCTACCTCGCAGATCTCCCAGATTTTGGGAGATAACAAAGATTTGATTACATAAGGACAGGGGCCTTAGTTAATTTCACCGAACAAGTTGCCGATATTAATTCGATTAAATTCAGAGTGAGCGTGCTGTACCAAATACATGTAATTTTAATGAATAGCAAAACCTCGTGCTGCAAAATAAAAGTTAATGGTTGTTAATGGTGAGATGGCTAGGAGCGTAGAGGAAAGAGCCTGGATACGAGGTTGAAATAATTATTCAACAATGTGTATAATGAAACCTTGATTATTAACTTCTACCCTGTGAAACATCTGCTGGAAGATTCATATATTAATTGAAAATATTCCATGTCAATATTAATTGTATTTCGGTAGCCGTCAAGTTTTCTACTTCCTGCGACTATAAGCCGCTCAACAGCAGTTCATTCTCATATAGTTTATCAATGACAAAGTCACGAAAACACTCTTCACAAATTGTAATGTAGTTACCGCAGATTATGTCATTTCTTCTCCTTGAGATTATTAACGGTTATGGTAAGAGATATTGAGACCCACGATGTGCATTCCCATTCCCTCTAGGTAAGAACTTTTCCCCAGTTTGCTGAAAACAGTTCCAGACATAAACTACTCAAAATATTCTGGGCAGTACAAGCTGACGAGAAAGTTACTTTAGCAATTTTCTTCTTAAGAGAACATAAAGATTCTCGCGAACTTCTTTGTTGAGCAGTCCATAAATTACAGTATTCAGGAAACTTTTGGAGAAATGCAGAAACTTTGCACCAACAGTCAGTCTTTCAGAGATCTGACAATGATTAGAAATGACAGAATAGGAATGTCAACACCATTAGTACTACCATGAAATATGTACGGAGGTTCTTCTTAGACTTTAAACATCTACTGGGCGTTGATTTATTACCTTGTGTATTGTCAGATTCACCACCAGGAACAACCAGTTTAGTTCCAACGTGCTTCGGGTGTTTTATTGTTTTGATAATAACTAGTGAGCTCAATACCAAAGCCAAAGCAGGAACAGCGAAGATAAGGATTAAAAATACCGACACAAAAGAAAGTTCTTCCAGATTAAACCAGCATAAATGTTGCTTGGGGAAGTAAACGACTTCGAAGGTGCTCACCGCTAAAGACGGTATACTCAGAGATAAAACGATTACAATGAGGATAAATGGCCGTACTGATGAAAACATTTTACGATGTTTTACTGGAAATTTGAGCATAAACAAACGTTCAATGCATAGAAGTGCTAAGGAATAAAGCGAGAATAACGTCATACAAGTTTTCAGTAATGCAGTAAAATAGCACATTGGTTCACTGAATATGTTTCTGTTTGCAATTAAATTGATCATATAAACTGCCATAACGGTGGAACCAGCCATTGCGTCTGAAAAGAAAAGATTCAATAAGAGCCCATGTGATGCACGTCTATATTTCCTTATCTTGAATATTGCATGAATGACGAGCAGATTTCCAATTGTTGTAAGTAGGATGAATTTCGCCATCAAAACCACCCTCAAGTAGTATTCCCATAATGGAACCATATTCTTACGGCTCATGATGACATCGTTATGGAGTTTGTTTTATTTTCAAAACAGGATGTCTGAAATGCAGATGTTTTCTCACAGTTTACGATTTATTGTTAAAATAAACTGAAAGAGTTTAGTTATGCATGACCAGGTTGGTCACAATTATAAACTGCATGTCGGGTCGAATCACTTGCAGACATTTAGTTTTATATGATGTGATTTTATATGATTTTATATCCAGCAAAAGTT